GAATGAAAAAATTTCCATATCGAAAATTTTGTTCTTGGTCTTCAGGATACTGAATAATGAAGCTTCAAAGTTAAGTATGCTATCATAGGCGCCTTTCTCATACCGAAATGCATAACAAGTTTGCGCAAAACAAAATTTGAGTATTTTCTTAAGCGATACAACAACAAAAGATTTATCTTGAACTATCGCTAATTTGCTTTTTAATTTATAAAAAGTTTATACTTTTCACAGACAGTATTTTTTATCCTCTTTTAGAATCTGGTTTTAAAGAAATATCTGGAGTTGAACATTTTGAATAGCTTTTTTTTTTTCCTTATTTATTTAGCCGTACAAATATTTACAAGTTCCTTGTTTTATAATATATATAAAAATGGCAAGGACGAAAAGAAGAAAGTTGGGTTGAACAAAGTTGTTTTTTGAATATTTAGTCATGTATTTGTGTTGAATTTTATTAAATAATGGTTTGAAGATATTTGGTATTGTATTATTATTAGTTTTATACATAAAAATTAGCAGATAATATATATTTAATTGGTACAAATTTAATATTTCTAGATTGTTGAACAATGGTCTAGAATGTGAGAGGCGGTGTGCATTTGATAATAATCTGATTGCATGTTTTTGTTTGCTAAATAGCTTTTTTGTCTTTGTTTTATTGGTGCTGCACCAAGCAATGTTTGCTTAATTAAGATAGGAATGAATAAATGAATAATATATGTATTTCAAATATGATTGATCTAAGTATGGTTTTGCTTTATAGAGTAATCCGATATTTTTAGAAATTTTATTATCATTCATGTTTATGTGGTCTTTCCAATTTATGTTTTCATCTAGTATTACACCTAGAAATTTCATTGAACATTCTCTTTTTACGTTGTATTCTCCAATAATAAGTTTTGGAAGTACAATAGGGATTTTATCTTTTCTATGGAGGCGATGAAAGATAGTATATTTGGTTTTAGTTAAATTAATTGAAAGTTTATTCATATTTAACCATTCAGTTAGTTTTAGAAGTTCAATGTTGACCGTTTTAAATAATGTTGTTAAATCACTATGAGAATAAAATAAATTTTTGTCATCAGCAAATAATATAGAATCTAGAATATTAGAAGCTTTGCTTAAATCATTAATATAGATTAAAAATAAAAGTGGTCCTAATATAGATCCTTGAGGAACGCCGCAAGTAATTGTCATATTGTTAGTTTCTTCATTGCCAAATGAAATATATTGTTTTCTATTAGATAAGTAGCTTTTGAACCAAGCTATGTTTATATTTTTGATTCCATAGTTTTCTAACTTTTTAATTAAATTAATATGATCAACAGTGTCAAATGCCCTACTAAGATCTATGAAAACACCTAAAGTGAACTTGTTTTTGTCAAAACCTTGAAATGAGATGAAGAATGAAACCTGAATGAGATGAAGAATGGCATAATCGGTAGAGTGCCCTGTTTTGAACCCAAAATGTTTGTTGTAAAGAATATTATTTTTTTTCTAAAAATGAGTATAATTTGTTATACATAATGCGTTCTAGTATTTTCGAGAGGCAAGAAAGTATGGAAATAGGTCTATAGTTTGAGATATTAGTATCATCTCCAGATTTAAAAACTGGTATTACCCTTGCAAAGTTTTTTTTGGAAAGGTTCTTTGTTTAAACGAAAGATTAAATATATGCAGAAGAACTTTTTTAATCTAGAAAATACATTTAGTTACAACATTACTACTAACGTTATCAACTTCTAGTGCTTTGTTTAATTCTAATGAATGCATTTTTCTATTATTGATTTGCTAGGAGTCAAGTATTTCTCCTTGTTAAACTCACTGTGTTATAATTTTGATGCTAAATTTAAAACTGCATTGACAAACACCTCATTAAATGTTTTAGCAATTATAGATTTATTTGTAATATCTTGATGATGATAATTTAGTTTTTTTTGTAAGACCATTTAGCTTAAGTGTTTTTTTTCCAATTACTTCTTTAATGATTTGCCACGTTTTTTGAGTATCGCATTTAAATTTTATTATTTTAGTTGAATAGTATAACTTCTTTGAAAGTTTTATAATTGATTCAAAGTGACCTTTATATTTTTTATACCTTAATTCATTTTCATAAGTTCTTTTTTTCAGAAACACTTCATTCAATCTTTTTTTTTTTTTGATGTTTTTATTATTCCTAGTGTAATCCAAGGGTTTATAAATGTTTTAGTTTTAATAATTTTTGTTACCACTGGAAAAGCATTATCATAGTGTTTTTTGAATATCCGAAGAAAACTGTTATAAGCAGTATCTGTGTTTTGAATTTGCAAAATTTAGTCCCAGTTTTCAGAAAATGGAGAATTATTAAAAAAGTTCCATAAAAATGTCATCATATATTCGATTTGTAATAATAACTTTTTTTTGAGGAATGTGTCCGACAACCTTATGTGTGATTATAAATATTGGGAAACGATCCGATATATCAGATATTATTATTTCAGTTTTTATTTTGTTTTTTGTATATTCATTAATTAATAATTGATCAATTAAGGTTACGCTTTTCCTAGTAATTCGTGTTTTCCTAGTAATTCGTCATCATTGTACACAACATGTACAATGATGACGGTCTGTACACAACATGTACAATGATGTTTTTACTGATTTTATTTATAACTTCAATCGTTAATGATTCGCAATCATTACTAATTACACTAAATTCGGTTAGTGGTTTAAATTTTAAAAAATTGTGAATAAAAATACATACTTTGTCTATCTTCAAGCTGCCTTAGTTTATTATCTTCCGTATCTCTGTTTCCTCATTTTGATATAATTTTTTTTTCTAATTCAAGATTTTTTTTTTCTTCTATGTCTTGTGTAAAGTTCAGACTTTTTTCTATGTCTTTTTGTACAATTTTATTTTTGTTTAATCTTTTAACGTAATTTTTTTGTTTCTCTTTAATTAATATGTTTTCTTTTTGGAGTGTCGCACACAAATCTTTTACAGTATTTATTTCTTTTAGCAGACCATCAATTCTATCGTTTGTTAGTTTCAGATTTCCACTAATTAGTTTTAGAATATCATTTTGTTGCTTGATAAACATTTCGTTGAATATATCCCGAACAAGCTTTATTGAAATAATTTGTTCCTCGTTTGATAATTTATCCATGATGTATTACTTTATTTTATTTGTGTTCTTTTTTCTGTTGATAATTCGTATTTTTAAAGATATATAAATACTAAAACTTAAAAATACTAAGATTTATACTACCATTAATTTCATTAAAATGACTTTTGTAGGGCGTATCGGGGACAACAAGTTATTTATATAATTGACTATACCATTTTGTAATTCTGTTTACAGTTTGATTGTTTTATTTTTAACCTATAATATTGTTTTCCTTATTTAGAAAAGTAATATAAGTAAAAAATTCAAAAAAATTCCTATTTTTATAACTTAACTTTGATTATTAATAGCATTTAATGTAAACAACGATGGTAAGAAATTATATAAGAAAACTCAGTCATCCAAAATGGGCTGAAATGCAGTTTTAGCTGTGAGTAAAAAGGAACTCAGAATTAGAAAAGCTGTTGATACATATGACATATTTAAATATGTCATATGTATCAGCATTGGCATATTGCTCATCAAAATTGTTACCAATTAGTTTCAGGATATTTTTTGTGCGATTTAAGTGATCTACAATATTTTTGTTTATTTTTAAATTTAGCAGTAGTTAATTTTTAATAATAGTTTTTACTTAATTTTTTATTTCTAATAGTTATCTAATATTCTAATAGTTTTACTTAATTTTTAGAACTTAAATTTGTTTGTTTAAGAGTATTTTATAATAAAATACAAAAAGTTTTTATTATTTTTAGTTGTTATCTCTTTTTTGTGGTGTATAAGTGTATGGGCGGGTAGTTTGTATGGGTATGTTTTTTGAGAGTTTAATGTCTGAACATGATTATGATAATGATAAATGCCCTCATTTTTTTATCATTTCTAAAGCTTTACAGTTAACAAAGAATCGCTTTTTATATGCCCCGTTTTGCCCGACCAACTTGAAAATATAAAATAATTGCTAGTCTAGGGTTTTGTTACTTTGGTTGTAGTAGCTAATTTTTAGAATTTATTTTTTTGTTTTTTCGTTTTCTTATATCAATGAAGTTTAGGAAATTTATAATAACCACGAGGAAAAACCAGTTCATCAACAACAAGAATTTTTTTCTTAATTGTCCCAAGGATGTCAAATAAGATAATATAAAATAATATCTTATTTTACAGTCGTGTGCAGTAAAATAGTAGTGCGTTTTTCTATCAACAAACTTTGAACATCAAAATATATTTTTCTATTGTTTGTTTTTTTATCGTTATTGTTCATAAACTACCCAGTGGGAAAAAAAACGTCGAAAAATACGTCTTTAAAAGTCTTATTTACGATGTCTTTAAGACGTCTTTTTTTAATTGATTATGCAAATCTAAAAGACATCTTTTTTCGACATCGAAAAAACGTCTTTTTTTATCTTAATCTTGTCATGAAAAGACATGAAAAATGCGTCTTTAAGACGCCTTTTTTTAGTCAAATATGCAAATCTAAACGACATCTTTTTTCGACATCAAAAAGACGTCTTTTTTATCATAATCTTGTGATGAAAAGACATAAAAAATGCGCCTTTAAGACGTCTTTTTTTAGTCAAATATGCAAATCTAAAAAAGTGTTTTTTCTCGGGGTCGGAACGACTTTTTTGCTATACTTAGTATAGTATACTATAGTATCCTATACACTATAGTATTCCTACTTTTCTTATATGAAAAGCTATTTTTTCAAATGAAAATGATAATAGCTCTTCATACAAAGTATGACAAAAAGCTTTTTCCGATGCCGAGAAAAAAACCTTTTTTAGATGTCAATATAAAAGAGGAAGCATTTTTTACATCTTTTATATATTTAAATATAGGAGAATAATTTATAAATAAAACAATAGTATTGTTAAACAGAATTTTTTTCATCTTTCTTTTTCTTTTCTTGAGCGAGCTCTGTTTCTTGGCGTTGTTGAATAAAATTAACAATTTCACGTCGAGAAATCCTTTCATACGAGCAGGTTACGACTTCTAGCTGGTTACCACTTCTAAAAAACGAGTGAACATAAAAAACAGCCTATTGCTTAAATGTAATACAAAAAAAGCAAACGAAACTTGATCAGCTGAGTGGAGCACATTATACTTACCGACTATTAATTCAAAAAGGGCTGATCCTTTTAATCTACTCATGTTTCCAGCGCGGTTTCTTCTTTTTAAACCCACTAGGTTAGATTGGGACAGGAGTCAAGCGGTAAACAGTCTAAAAATATATAAAAATGAGTGTGCTAAATAAATTTACAACCATCAAAATGACTGTACAACGATGTATTTTATTATGTAGTACTTAAATCAAGCTAAACATTTGCACCTCTCAGATTTGCACCTCTTAAAAAATTAAGTGTTGTAGACTCATAACAATTTAAAAATCCGTTATTGACAACATAAAATCAACAACATAAAATCATAAAAACTGGCGATATCATTAGAAACACAGATGAAATACACATAAACAAAAAAGAAAACTAGAAAGCTGCAATGATGTTTAGATTTAAGAAAGTGTACCTTTCCAGTATCATTTTCACTTGGTTTTTTGTATCCAAACCAAAAATTTTGCGAACATTTCTAAAGATAAATCTGTTGTCATTATGTGTATTTTTATAATTGCTTTATTAATGACAGACAACAGTTAACAAGGAAATAACATATTTAACATAAAAGTTGAAGAGCCAATCTTTTGTATAAACAATTTCATCATTCAACTAAATAAAACAAACAAAATTATTCAGATCATTTAAAAATATATTAAAAAATATTATTGCAAGCCTACTGAATGTTTCTTTTTTTCTATCGTTCGTTTCACTGCCCAGCAGGCACAAGCCGTATAAAAAACGTATTTTTTATGTCTAAAACGCATCTCGTCTAGCGCAGATGTAAAATAAACGCATTTTAAACTTCTTTGCAAGTTGGTTTATTATCCTGTCTATACGTTGCGTTTAAAATAGGTTGTTTTTTTGGTTGAACTAGACAAGACGTTTTAATCACTGAAAAAATATGTCTTTATTTAGTCATTAAAAAGACGTGTTTTAAAAGACCTAAAGCTTAAATCGAAAGTACTTTCGATTTATAGTGAAAAATTTCGCTCGACGCCATTTTTTCAACATAGAGTTAATCTACTTTCCTAAGGTTTATTATCATTATTAAGTTAAGATTATTAAGTATAATATAGTAATCATAAATCAGCTATAATATATAGTTATAACTATATACTATAGTATACTATAGTACAAACAGTGCCGGATTGTTATGGTAACATACGTTAAAACGTATGTTACTATAACAATCGAAGGAATGCTGTTTTATACTATAGTATAAAATGATAACTTACAACGATATATCGTTATAAGTTATTATTTTAAGTTATCATTGGAGTCTATTATGATAACTTAAATTATTAACTTACAATGATAATGCATGTTACTACAATAATAGATGGCATGTAATATAACAATGCAAGGCCTTAAAATAAGACGCATGCTATAAATTATAGCATAATATATTAAATTATAGTATAATATAGTAGCATGCGTATATATAATGATAGCTATAATTATAGTAAGAATAACCACATGATTTTTTATAGCCTTATTACATCCTTATTATATTACAGTTATTACAATAACTAAGGATTTTTATCTCACAATAAAATCAGCACCTAATTATAATGAGTCTGTTAATTTTATATAAAAATTGTATTATTTTCAAAACTGTTAAGCTTACAAGTTGCAAAGTGGTGTTAAAAGTTGTGTAAGTTTGTAATTTTTTAATATCATTTTCATGTGTCTTAGTAACAATAAGATAGTAAATTAGAACATTAAGTAAAAAGGTATATAAAGTAAGGTATATTTAATTTATATTCAATTTGTAAAGAATTAAAATTAGAATATTGAAAAACAAAATATATAAAAAGATAAAGATAAAGTTGGGGACATCAATTTATGAATTTTATCATGTATTTGTTGTTGATAAATATTTCGCCTCATGCTTATTGCTAAAAAAAAAAAAAAAAGACTTTGACTAATATTTTGTTTTGGGTGTATTAAGGGACATCCAACAATTTTTTGAAAGTAAAGGAATTTTTCAATTGTTTTTTTAAATTATCAAGCTTATATTTAAAAGCATTTTTTATACTTTAGTAAAATAAAATTAGGGAGGTCCATTGGTGTATCTTTTATAAATATATATATATATATATATATATATATATATATATATATATATATATATATATATATATATATATATATATATATATATATATATATATATATGTAAATGATTAATTTTAACTAATAAAATAAATTAATAATAGATTTTAAAACTTAATAAAATTATAATTGCGGTAAAATTTTGAGTAAAAAAGCTTGAGAGCAACAGGCATTTGAAAAAACAGGCTTTTGAATCAGCATTGCCGAACGCCAACCTGAATTTTGCAGGCTGTATATGTATGTGTATGTATTTATATTTATATTTATAAAAATTTGTATATATATATATATATATATATATATATATATATATATATATATATATATATATATATATATATATATATATATATATATATATATATATATATATATATATATGGCTAAACTGCCACAGGTCATCATGCACTGCACTACTTAAACTGTTTATTAAAAAAGGCAACAGGTTATAATACTTTTACTACTACTACTACTACTACTACTACTACTACTACTACTACTACTACTACTACTACTACTACTACTACTATGTATGCATATGTTCTGGTCTTTTAAATATCTACACTCTAACATATCTTTTCTTTCTGTTTATCCTTTTAAATAAATTAAATGAAAAAAAGTTGTAGCATTTCTAATTATTAAGCAAATTGTTAATTTGGCTTCTATTTTGCTGGCGTTTTTTAAATCATAACAGTTTCTACAACCTTATGGTTAAATTTATATTAGAGAGTCTAAGCATAAAAGTAACTCAATCTGAAAGAGGTTGTGCTAAATGAGTTAAACAATATTTGTTTTCCTAATTTGATATCGTAAATTTTTTTTAATTTTTTATATTTGTTTTTATTAAACATTATTTATAAAATATTAAAAACACATGTTTAATAAATAGTGCTTATTCAATCTTTTTTTAAGCTATAAATGAATTAAAATATATAATATGGCTTATTTTCGGAAATATAGAAGGGTGCAAGCAGAACTAGCTGCTATTTTAAAAGGAGACTCCCATTCAAAAGAAGAGTCTCATTCAAAAGATGACCCATTCACACCTGTACTCAGCAGTGAAATCTCACACACAGAAAACAATAGCTTAATGAATGATGCTAAAAATGTCTTGTACAAAATTGATTGTCATAATAATGACAAAATTGATTATACCACTAACTTAAGCGAACAAGACACATCTTCAGATCCTGAGTTTTGTTATAGTGATGAAGATAATGTTAATAGTAAAGGTAATCAAACTTTAAGCCAAGATTTATCTGTCATTGTAAGTAAGTATAATCTTCCCAGACTTTGTACAAATGAGTTATTAGCTGTGCTTAGAAAACATGGGCATATTCTCCCAAAAGATGCTCGTACTTTACTTAAGACACCAAAGCAATTTGAATGCAAAGAAATGTGTGAGGGTTCCTATATCTATTTTGGAATAAAAAGTGCTATTAAAAAACAGTTGCAAATACTGCCCAATTACACTAATAAAAACAATAAAATAGAACTTTGTGTTAATGTTGATGGAGTTCCTTTATTTAAATCATCTAAAATACAGATTTGGCCTATTCTCGGTTTATTTTATGCTTCTAATGTTTTTATGATTGCACTTTATTGCGGAAAATCTAAACCTAGTTCTGCTTCTGAGTATTTAAGAGAATTTATTTCTGAAATTAATTTACTTGAATCTGAAGGCATTACTTATGAAAGTTGCAATTATGAAGTTTCCATCAAATCTTTTATTTGTGATGCTCCTGCTCGTTCATTTCTTAAAGGAACTATTGGCCATACAGGTTTTTATTCTTGTGAACGATGCGAAATAAAGGGATCATATGTTGATAGCAGAGTAGTATTTAACAACGATGAAGATTTTCCACCACGCAATATGACTGATTTTAATAATTTTAATTACAAAAATACTCATCAGCATCTTTTGAGTCCTCTTGTTCATACTCAAGTTAATTGTGTAAATGATTTTGTTTTGGACTATATGCATTTGGTATGCCTCGGTGTTGTGAAAAGATTACTCATGTTTTTAAAAAACGGACCAAGATTATGTAAACTATCAAGCATGCAAATAAAAGCTATTTCAGATCACCTTTTAGCATTAAATGGTAAACTACCATCAGAGTTTGCAAGGCAACCAAGATCGCTTGATGAGTTGAAGTACTGGAAAGCTACTGAATTTAGACAATTTTTATTATATACTGGTTTGATTGTGTTAAAAGGAGTTGTGTCAAAAAACATTTATCAACACTTTCTTGCCTTGAGTGTAGCTATGCGTATACTTTTAAATGAGAACATAGAACTTCGTATGCATTATCTTAATTTTGCTCATTCATTGTTAGCATGGTTTGTAAAAAATTCTAAGCATATCTATGGCGGTAGTTTTTGTGTGTATAATGTACATAGTTTATTACATATTGATGAAGATGTTATTAATATGCAGTGTTCACTCAATGACGTTTCTGCATTTCCTTTTGAAAACTATATGAGGGTGTTAAAAAATTTTGTGAGAAATTCAAAAAATCCTATTGTCCAAGTGTCAAAACGTCAAGCAGAGTTTGAGAGTATTACATATCAAATACAAGTTTCCAAAGTTAATAGAGTGTCAACATGCTTTCGTGATTCAGTCTTTCAAATTGAAAATGGTTTTTGTTTTGTTAAAGAAAAGCGGGATAGTGGATACTATGTTTGTTCCACGTTTAAATTTAATCAATTGGAATCATTGTTTGAAATCCCGCTACACTCAAAAGATTTGAACATTGGATGTGTATCGAATTTTAACAGCTTTAACATGGCATCAAAAGTGTTGCATAGATCACAGCTTTTAAATAAAGTAGTTGTCTTACCATATAAATTTGGATTTGCATTTTTTCCTTTAATTCATATGTAGTTGAAATTATAATAATTTTTTTTATTGAAATTATAATTTAATGTTGCAATAAATTTTTTCAAACACATCTTAAAAATTTAGAATTTTAATAAATTTCATCTTGAATG